GAATAGATTGAGAGATAGGTGGTTTCATTTTCTTGGGAATATGTTTTGGGCGTGACATGATGAGTGGAGTAGATTTTGGGGTTGTCATTGATACTCTTACTAGAATGTAAATTTACTGTATATGGGTAGTACCCCCTTTTGGTACTTTGTTTATAATACTACATTAGCACTTTTTATTTCAAAAATATCATCTCAACGTCTTACAGACTTATGTTAGTTTTACTATTTTCACATCAATCATTCAAAATAATAAGCAATCTGTTAGGCTTATCCTTTAGTACTACCTTTTGGACAATTTGGAAAGAGAGGAATGAGGAGACTGTTGAGGTATATTATCCAATTTTGATTATTTAGAGACTCACGGATCCATTTTTTTTTTTAAATTTTAATTACGAATCAACCATTATATTCTAGCAAGAATCTTGGGAACCTTATAGACAGTTTTGTTCGAGATGTAAGTGTTTACGGGTTGCACATCTTTGGTGCTTTTTGAATATACTATTTTCTTCAAAAAAAAATTTCACATCAACCAAATCTAAGCACACATACTGTTCCCTGTTATCTTTGATTAGAAATATTTTATTGAGTTAGAGACTTAGATCCATACCCTCGTAGACACTTGTAACTGAGTTTGAGCAAAATAAGATTCTGATTCCAATGCTATTGTTACTTTTTATATTTTTTCAATAAGGGAAAACTGAAGTTGCCTGGAGGGAGCAATATTTAGGCTAACTACCATGTGATGGACAGTGATGGTTGTTATAGTTTCTAAGTTTACTGCCACTAACTTCCGTAATGTTTCTCTGAATAAATTAGCAATAAAAAGAGGGAAAATTAGGCAGGGATATGGAATTGGAATGTAGATTTGTTTGGAACTTGCAAGACTGGCACTAGGAAGCCAAGAGAGGTTTCTCTGAGAATTATATGAAAGTAGAGTGATGAATATGGACTTGGAGTACGAGGTGAGATTATTGCTCAAGAAGTATAAGATGTTTGAGTTTTGAACTTTCTTCTTTGATGTCATAATGGAACAAAGAAGTATGGAAGAATGAATTTATCTTGACCATAAAATTCATTAATAGGAATGCCTCTATCTAGGTGGTTTTTGTTCTCTTTGGAACAACTTGCTATGGATCTCCACTCAACAATTCACTAACCGGAGTTGTTCCACGTGGGTGGCTTTTTGGGCTCTCTTGGAAGCCTTTTTGTAGCATATTCTTATTGTAGTTAACCTGTGGAGAGTGTTTTTGTAAATTGATTGTAAGTCCCTTTTTTATCTTCCAATGCATGATCATACTTTTCAAAATGATGCCCTTAGTAAAGGCTTGTTTGGTCCGACTTCTACCTCTGCTTTTGCTGTTCAACATTTGTTAGTAATTTTTATAATATAATTAATTAAATGTAATATCATAATTTATATTGAAAATATTTTTTTACAATAAGTTTTATCAAAAACCTTACTGCTTTTTACTTTAAAGCTGCTTTTACTGAAGACCATTTTTAAAGCACTTTTATCAGTAACAGCACAAGCACCAGTGACAGACCCTAAATGTTTTTGTAATAGTTTTGTTCTCTCTAACGTTAAACTTTTTTTATTAAAGTGATGTATTTAGGCTTAATCTTAATGATTTACTCCAAGCTTGTAGGCTAACTCGTGCTTTGTCTCCTAGGAATTTGTGTGACGTTATTCTGAGCTGCTGGGTTTCATAGTCACCTCTTCTACATTGTGATATTAGACCAGTTCTGTTATCTATCTTTTTGGATTAAGTGAAATGACATAAACTTGAGAGGCTATAATGGGTATATATTTTGAGGTCGTAGTTCGACATTGTTGTTTTGAAGAATCAAGAAGATCCTTTCCTTTTTCACAAAGCTTTTATTCCATAAATGGCTACACAAGTGGTTAGTGGGTGGCTTCTAGCTGTTCATGCACAGATTATATAGTTGGTTAAATAATCTGCTATTTGTGTATAAAGTATAATCAGAAAATAGTAACAAAATATATACAGAAAATTGTGTACTTTATAAGATTTACTGACTTGTTTTCTGATATAATTTCCTCACAACATACATTCAACTAAAAATACAATTGTAAGTACCACAAAAAAGTTCTATTAATCTAAAACAATATGAAGAGAACACTACTTTGTAACATTTACAGCTGGGAGTTAACATGCTAGATTACAAGGGTAATTTGAGCTCTTTCAGAGGAGAAAAGAGGCAACATCTGAGCATTTGTTTTCTTTTCTTCTTTTCCTTTGGAGGGAGTGAGGGGATAAGACACAATGTCATTTGCTGAAAGGTTTTGATGGGTAAAATTTATAAAACTAATAAATAAGTGTGTTAAATTTTTGCTCGTTCTTTTTGTGCCTGCAGATTAATGTAATTTTGTTGTTGCAGAATGGATGAGATGATGCGTGGACAAAGGGGTTGGAGGGAATTAGCCATATTGGGTGATAAGATAGAACAGTTAGCTGGTATGCTAGAAGGCCTAATATGGTCTCCTAAGGCTGGTGAAGTACATGATAATTTTGATTGGCCTTCTGAGGAGGTATTCAATCTCTATAAAAGCAAAAAGTCAAATTTTGTATAGAAAAAGCAATATCTTATTAGTTATGCTTTTTTATTTTGTTAACCAGTATCAACACTATGGTTCTTTCTTTCCTTGAAAAACTTATGGTTGATGTTTTGTAGATATATTCTACCAAATCTTCGTAAAATCTCATGTTTCAAGCAAATTAATTTGCTTCAACCAAGCTTGTTCTAAGTTAAAGTAGTTGAATGTCTTTTTCTTCATAAGAAAGTCATTGATGGTTGGTACTCATGAATGAGAATTTCTTCCAGTCTGCATTTGTTTCTGATAGTCTTAAATTTCAAGTACATAATTTCCTTAATAGTAAGAAATGAATTCCCTAGGTATTGGGTTTGAAGTAACCTATTATCTTTAGTTGTGAATGATGAAAAGCTCTTAAATATCATGTGGAGCCAGATTGTTCCTTCTATACTTGAATTATGCTTGGTCATTTCTGTTGTACATTGAAACCTAGATATGAGAGCAAAGTAGAGAAAGGAGAGTAGAAAAATAAGCTAACAGTTTCCTAGCAATAGAGTGAAAGAGAAATTGGTTTAGGTTGGTCCATATTTTCGGTTTTTGCACCTTCATCTTATGCCTCTGAAGAAGCATAAACTTTTTTGAGCTTTGAATCTGGAACAATATTAATAGTGCCATGCTTTCTTTTCTATCCTTTCTTCTATAAAGAAAAGGTTGACTTGTTATTTCTTGTGCAATCTTTTCTTTAAATTCTTTCTGTGTGGTATCTTTCAAGTAGCTATTATTAATGTCATAGCACTAAATGATTTCTATTAAAAAAGAGCATCTTGCTTAAATGATGTAATCATAGATGCGTCGGCATAGATATTGCTACCTTGGCCCTTTTAGAGATCAAGCAGATCATTTCTTTGCTTCGTTCAGGGAAACCTTTTTTCCTCCAATTCACACTTGAGGAGTCGGGAGTGATGATAGATCTTCAATAAAAACCTAATGATCTCTTTTTTTAAAAAAAAAAAAACTAAAACCCCAATTATCATTCCCCTTCATATCCACAGAAAGGTCTCTCCTTTTTCTTGCTTTAAGCTCAAAGTAGATGATTAATGTTAACCTAAAGATATCCTTTTGATTTCTCTAATAAAAATTGTTTGACGGAGGGAATTGAAGAAATGCTCTGGAGCATGTGAACATACTTGGCCTCAAAGTATGACCCACTGATTATAAATAATTTTCTAATCTTATTTTGACAAAGATTCTGTGGTATCGTTGCCCATCTTTGTGTGATGAAATTAGCACAGTGGTGAATTGATTCGACTTGGAAGTTAAATAATGTGAGGGTTGATAAATTATGAACACAAAATTTCATTAGTTTCTATGAGTTTCTTATCCTAGTTTTCTCAGTAGGTAGTGACATGCTCATTATAACATTGAGTAATTTGACTATAAAATTTCCATTACCACACTCATGGAACTTTATTATCTCTTTTTGAGAAAAAAAAGAAGTATATTTAATAGGCACCAAGAGGTTGCCACTCATGGAACTTTAATGTTGTCATGTCAGGTAGCTTTTCTCCATCATTTTGCATCTAGGAAACTTACCTTACTACCAACTGCTTGCAAGAACTTTAATATTATCATGTCGAGTATTCTTTTCTCTCAGTAATCTTCTTGAATAAAAAATGTGTTACTATTCACAAAGTACTAAAGGAGTGTAACCCATAAACTTTTCTCTCCATAATTTTTGCTGTTGCATTTGCAACATGCCAGTTGGACAGCTCTATTTTTTTCCCGTAATATTATTATTTAAAAGATTCCTTTTCAAAAAGCTCACAGTAATTGCCCCATTTTGACTGCAATTAATTCCTTCCTAGATTTAGTTGACATCATATGTAGAAATCATAGAAACTAAGCAGTTTTATGTTGCATTTAGGGGCCTCACTCAGATTTTCAGGGACCAACATCTGGAAGCACAGCATGTGTTGCAATCATTAGAAACAACCAACTTGTAGTCGCAAATGCTGGTGATTCTCGTTGTGTAATATCGAGGAAGGGTCAGGTATTATTTTATTCTCCTTTATCTTTTGGATTTTCTTACATACATTAATAAACATCTTTTTCTTAGAATTGTAAATAAGGGATTGTTTCAAGGTTGCGACCTTCACTTAGACCATTTTGTGAATGAAAATATAATTTTAAGTTATTCTTGTTTGGTAGAGGACAATGGTTTTTGAAATGGATTAAGCCCATGACTTGTTATTGGATACTGTACTTGAATTGCCTGGATAATTTATGAATTTCCTTGTTTGCAGTTAACACAGTTTTGATTGCAAAGTAGTAAGATGAATTCTATATTGACACTTCTAAAAGCATGTTTGGTTTATTGAATAAGAATGAAAGAAGTAAGATGAATTCTGCATTGACATTTCTTAGGGCATGTTTGGTTTATTGAATAAAGAGTGAAAGAGTATGAATGCAACTGTCATTACATCACTAGTTAGTATCACTGTGTTCTCTTCTCATTTTGTACTAGGAATTTCAATTACTTGTAACTGTTATCCCTTTAAATTGGCAATTGGATTCATGATCAGGCATATATATCCTAATTATACTCCCCAAAAAATAAACTAGATAAATTCCCCTTAATTTAAAAAGTAATTTACATCTCTATGAAAAATTATATCAGTAGTAAATCCTAAGTTACTAAAATGATATTTTGAGTTTTGTCAAAATATCATCTGAGTTTGTTAACCTGACAGCCACTGATGGAGAATGGGTATGAAGTAGAATTTCTAAATAGGTTAGGAATTGTATTTCTAGCTAATCTTCAATGTATTGTAATAGTATGGCTAAGATTGGATCTTTAGTAACTTAGGATTTTAATTATAGTTGAAATTTTTTAAGGATTAAGTTTTCTAGTAGTATTCTACAATTGTAGTTGGATTAGGACTTTGTGTTTTATGGGTTCTATATACTTATAATCTCATTTTTTGAGAGGAAGCAATGAGTAAATAAATTATTCCGAGAATTTTCACAAGTTCCATATGATGAGAATACTCACACTTACCATAACATATTACCTTATAAATGAAGAATGTTGTTTTCAAATCTATGCTACAGCAGAAATACATAAATATCAATGGTTGCCAAAGCCCGCAGCAAATGAGGATAAAGAGAAGCCCATTGGCATTGAGGATCAAGATGAACTGTCATGTCTTCCAAGAGCAAAAATTTTCAGAATCCTCTAAATCTTTGACCTTAGAGTTCTATGGCAATTCATTGCATTGAGGAACCTAAGCCACCATTTTAAGCCTATGTAGATTCAGCTCAAGGAAGCAACTTAAGGATCCCCATAGCAGGTTTCCAAAAGGAGGCAAGTTATGGATTCTTCCACCTGGATAAATTAAAACCCACTCTAAGATGTCACAACCCACAGGATCGTTCAGACCTCTAACTCTCTAGTCCTCAACATTAAGACTTGAAAAGTCTTTCTTACTAAGGTTAATCTGCTGTCCCAATACACTCTCAGATATATGCAAGATAGTGAGCACATATAGGACTTCACATGGTCGTAAGAGAGGAAAAGTATTGTACAATTTGCAAAATTGGAGATGGGAAATTTCCAACCTGTCATCGCCAACCCTAAGACCCTCCAAAGTACCTTTATCAGTACCTTTAGAAAGCATATGACTCAAGGTATCAACAGCAATCATGAAAAGGAAAGGTGTCAGCCTGTTTGAAACCATGCCACTCTTAGAACCACTCTCTAGTTTTGCCATCAACCATAACAACAAAGGCTGCAGAATAGAGACACTCTGAAATGTAACACTGTCATCAACCTCTGAAATTTTTCCTCTCCAAAACCATATCTAAAAGCTTAGTGACTCTACTCACAACAATACAGATGCTTAAAGACTCTACTTGCAGTAGGATCCCAAAAGGAGGCATCCTAAGGATTGCCTCCTAAGATAAATGAAAGCGCCATTCTAAGATGTCACAACTCACAGGATCATTCAGACCTCTGATTTGGACTTGCAAGGCCTTTGTCCTAAGGTTAACATGCAATGCAAGATATACTCTCAAATACATGCAAGATGGTGAGCACATTGTAGAACTTCACCTGGCCATAAGAGAGGAGAAGTGTTGTATAAGCTGCAAACTGGAGAAAGGAAATCCCGACCTGTCATGACCAACCCTAAGATCCTCCAACATGCTTTAATCAGTTGCTTTAAGAATCATACAACTTGAGGCGTCAACAACAATCACGAAAAGGAGAGGTACCGGGCGGTCAGCCTGTTTCAAACCACATTACTCTGGGAACTACTGTTTAGGTTTGCCATTAACCATGGGGTGGGAATTGGATTGTTGGTGGGGATGTTAGCATGATTCTGCATAAGGAGGAGAGGAGTGGAAGCGGTGTTTCGACTTCTGTGGCACAAGAATTCACTGATGCCATGGACAGGCTGGAGTTAGTGGATATACTGCTCAGGGGTGGTCAGTGGACCTGGTCCAATTAGAAATGTAAATTCAGAATTGACAGATTCTTCGTTTCCTATGGTTTCATCACTCAAGCTGCAGGTTTGCATAAAAAATTATTGCAATGCCCCATCTCAGACCACTTTCCGATTTATCTTGAGTTGGATGGAATTCAACGGGGTC